TTGTTTTTTTTTTCTTTACTGCTAGTGATGTAATCATTAATATCAATATATGATAGAGAAGGAGGGCATAGGATAAGAAATAGGACAATAAACAGAGGTCATAATATATACAGCGCCATGATGATGCAAGCTCTGTTGATATACATTCGTAACCGGTTCAAGTCTATTTTTAGCTGACCCCTTTTACGTCAAACGCGTATAGGTCATAAATGGAAGGAGGCCATCTCAGGTGAATGCACCCAGATTTATGGCAGTCTACGGACTGCACTATACTGGCTGCAATGTTTGACTACTGTAAGCTTTTTTGTTGAACTTATAATTCTTGATATATATGGTCATTAAATGTAGAATCAGATGTCCTTTGTGGTTCGAGATTTAGATCCCTTTTATGAACCACGTGACCAGGGAAAGGCTTTTATCCCGTGGCCAGGATGAGATGATCATGTAATCACATCCGTCAGGACGCAGGACACAGTGCCTTGAGCCAACGACATGAGTTACTCCTCCCATGCGAGGCTGGAGGCCGAGCCCACGGGGGGCCCTCCATATGCCTATAATGTGCCACCGTACCCGTTGGTGGACCATCACAACCCGTATGGCCCCCGTTGGGGAACGAAGCGGTGGGGGTGTCGGAATTAAATGTAGAAGTAGTTAAATACACTTATCATGTAGATCTACTATATCGTGAATTTATCAAATAGGCCCTACTAGCCGGATATGACTCGCGGCCTGCGGGCGTATGTTAGGGTATTTGTAATCTTGTAGATTGGATTGAGATCTATGCCAAACATGGCGAATGTTCCCTTAACATTTTGTTTTTAAATGTTGCACGAAATAAAAGTAGAGTGTGAAAATGGGTTTACCGGTTTAACCGACATAGTCATAGCAAATATAAAATACTGCGAAAACGGCTTTAGCCGATTTATTAAAAAGTTTCGTTCTTTAACAGAGATACATACATACATACATGCATACATATATACATACACACATACATACACACATACATACATACATACATCATACTCCTTGCATTCTACTTTCTATATTAGAAGATCACAGCCACAGTAAAACGTTATAAAAAGCCAATGGCACAAGCGTTGCGTTCGGTCAGCGATGGAGGGGCGGCTTTGGGAACAAAAAAAAATTACGATAAAGAAAAAAGAAACCAAGCCAGTAACTGACCAGTGACTTATTATTGTACAGTACTTAGCAGTACTCGATTCAAACCACGAGACAGTGAAACGGAACCTGGCGCGAATTCCTTTCCGCTTCGGGGCCTTCATAATTGGTAATAAATTGGACTACCTTTGTCTATTTGCACACGGCACAAGCATTTTAAAGTCTGTCCCTGAGTCTAGAAGCATGTACTACAAAAATGCATTCATTGTTAAATGGATCTCAAAATAAATGCTCTGGCATTTTTTTCTCTATATATATATATATATATATATATATGAGATTTTGATCAACTTATCAGTAGGCTGAAAGTGAAGTGAAGTGAACATGGTAGCTAATCAGACTTACCTTTCTTTGCATCAAAACTCATACAAAACTCATCTCCTATTCAGAGATTTTTAGACATGGCGGAAAACCTATAAATAACTAGCTTTATTTGGTGTATCCGGTGTACAAAATGAAGGAAGTATTAATAAGCTGAGTTTTTTTATTTAAAGATATATGAAGTTACGTCAGTAATTTATAAGATAGAAGATTAGAGTATGTGTGTGTGTATGATGTCATCATGTGGAAAGTAGGGCGGATGTTTTGATTGTGCAGGCTGCAGAGTTTCTGATGAAACCACGAAATGGTCTTGAGTGACTGAATTGAATGTATAGGACTGGTGTGATAGCTCAAAGGGGGCGAACCAGAGACCTGAGACGGTAAAGACTTTTTGTTGTTTGTAGTGAATTAGATTTTGTTTAAATTATCATTTAATTTATATTACTACTATATCTTATTTCAAGTTAAAACTATGTAAATTTATAAATAGAAATTTTATTCCAGTTGGTTTAAAAAGTAAATCTGTTCTGAGTTTAATTAAAGTTAAATATTAAGAATGTAATTTGCCTAAATCGGTCTAATAGCGCTATGTCCTTGAACATACAAACCGACGAACGAGCAACACGGCACACATATATTCTCTATGCCATGTTTTGAAGTTTTGTCTCTATATTTCCAGGATCTTGTTGCTTGGGTCACTATGGGCAGCTATCACATCCCGCAAACAGAGAACGTGCCCACCACAGGAACTGTTGGCACCGACTTGTCCTTTTTCATGGTCCCCTTCAACTATTTCCGCGAGGACCCTTCCTTGTCTTCCCGTGACGCTGTCAAAATAATGCCGCTTGATGCGAAGTCACCGTTGTCTGGAGCAGCAGTGGAGCGCTACAACACGACATTACACTACGACTGCCTGGCCAAGAAAATTGATTCGGAACTTTTGACCAATAGCACATTCTTATTTTCATAAAATTAGATGACTACGTTTGTTGACTGTTGTTTTATTGTTAATAAAATTATAGCTACAAAATCTTTCAGAGAAATTGATTTTGTGGTACTAGAGTTCTTTTGTAATTAGATTCATTGTGTGAATATATACATGCTACAGAATATGTTACTCTTATATTCTTTGTGAGAATATACACAGGCTACCAGTGAATACAGTGAATAGTTCGTTAGCATGTATATAGACTACATGTGAGTTTTCTTTAGAATGTATACAGAGTGTACGCAATTAATCGTTGTGTGTTTCCTAAACCCTGTATATTTTATGTGTGATTATATTCAATCTATATTTTGTATGTGTCTAAGTGTGAATATATACAGGTTACCCCTTGTATATATTTATCTTCACATATGCAAGTTACCATCTTTTATGTGACTGATCTGAATGTATGCAGGTTACCCCTTGTATATGTTTATCTTCATATATGCAAGTTACCATCTCTTATGTGACTTATCTGAATGTATTCAGGTTACCCCTTGTATATGTTTATCTTCATATATGCAAGTTACCATCTTTCATGTGACGTATCTGAATGTATGCAGGTTACCCCTTGTATATGTTTATCTTCATATATGCAAGTTACCATCTCATATGTGACTTATCTTAATGTATGCAGGTTACCCCTTGTCTATTTCTTATCTGAATAAATAAAAGGGTACCTCGTGGATGTGCTATCTGGATATATGGATGTTAGCCTTGTATATTCCTAGCGTAAGGTCAAATTAAGTGGCCAGATAACGATTGAATATAATTTCTATTTATTAAATCATCTCAATTCTTTGAGGATCTTATCGATTTTCTTACAAACTGCTTAATTTGTGAATCCTTCACTGCCATCCATCTGCTCCTTCCAATTGTTCAATATGTTCAATTGAATGTATTGGTGGTTATTAGTTTATTATTTTTTAAAATATGTTTTACGTGCAGCACATGACAATCAAGTATTCACAATATATAGTTATGTATAAAACTTGGTCCTTTTTATTGTGCTAGTTATTTTATTGGATAAAGTGAGCTTAGCCAAAGAGTAAGAATTATTTCTTCATGACTTTTATCCATCCAATTTTTATAATGGCACAATATTCTTTGCATCAAAAAGAATAATAGGCCTACAAACAAGTCGTATTCGTATATTGTACTAGCTGATACCCATGCTACGCTACTGTTGAAATAGTTGGTATAATAGGGTAGATGATGTTGAGGTCATCTATTTCTTTGGCCAACTGTTAATGAGCAGAGTGCCATGTGGCCAGAGTTGGGTGGACTCAAGGGCGCCCTAAAAATCCCAAAATTCTAAATCCCAGTCTTCACCGAGATTCGAACCCTGGGTCTCAGGTTCGGAAGCCAAGCGCCGTCATGAAAAGCGTTTTAAAGTCTTTTTTTTTTTTTTCGAAACATTGACCATGGGCAGCCTTGACCTCGGTAGGTTACGTGATCCTACTACCCCTCAGTTCACCTTGGAACATCCTTCCAAACCATACCTCTTGCATTAATTTTTTTAAAAATTTAATTTGCAAGCAGGGTGGTTATCTTTTTTTTTTTTAATTTGAGATGAGCGCCCTTGGTTTGGATAAGCCCCCCTTTATTCTACCTACACCACCCCTTTCTCTCAAGCATATGTTTACATAAGATATTTACTGAAAACGAAGGCATTATTGTTCATGGCAAGATTATTAAGTTGTGTGTGATATATATAGAGAGAATACAAAGTATGAAAGTACATGGTTATATATTGACGCTTTACATTGTCACAGATTTGTTTTTACCACTAGCTCAATTTAATGAAACTTAAAGATATAGCCAAAAGCTGTGGCTAGAATACCTCAGATACTGGCAGGTGATATTAAGGACTGGATTAATGTAAAATGTCAGGCTCTTGGCGCTTTAATATTTGGTAGTTGTCAGCCTTGCCTCAATAATTTATCGAGGTTCTAAAAATGTTTCCGAAGTGATCTATTAGCAACTTGTTCTTTATTTATTTGAGACTGTTGTAAAAAAATGTATCATGTTCACCGGTGATTAGTCATAGTCTGTTGTTTTCGACTTGTGCTGCCAATCTAACCTTTTTTATTGTAATTGTTTTTTCTAACAGTATTCTAGAATGTTATTGACGTATGTTACCAAAACTTATTTATTAAAATGAAATTGTATAATTCTGTTTGAAAGTGTGTTTCTTCTATCTTGTCTGGTAAATGCAATGTATTTGCCTTTGAATAAAAGATATTTGACTTTTATATCATCGACCATTTTAAGCCTTTGAATAAAATATTTATTTTTCTGTCATTTAAAGAACGGTTTTTGATTTCCAAAACAACTCCATTGATTTGTATAAGATCCTGGCTAGTCTGTTACTAAGCGGAGACACATAGCAATGAATTGTTTGCAGAACTATTAAAATGTATCTACCGGTTACATCCGGTCTTTTGATCCTCTAAAAAAAGGGCAAAAAATGTCTGCAAAATAGTCATGAGATGGGACAAGGAAATACAGTGGGGGGGGGGGGGGGAGAGGAGAGGGGAGAATTTCAAAATTTCCCCGGGCCCCCACTTGAGGGGGGCCTCCTAATGAGTGTTTTTTACATAAAAAATTAAATTTATGCAAAATGCAGGAGCCCCCAAAGAGCTCAAGCCTCCCGGGCCCCCAAAAGATGGAAAATGTCTAGCTATGACCCTGCAGTTATAACTTTATTAATACTGTGAATGTTACTGCCTTCTATCGTCTCTTTTCGATTGTTTAAACTCTTCAACTGGAAGGGGGTTAGATTTGAACTGTAGATATTAGATACTTATTAAATATGTGTAGCTTGTTGGTACTAAGACAATCTTAACGATTATTTGTCTTTGTTTGTTGTTATTAATTATAAATACAAGAATTTTTATTGGTATCACTAAAATTGGTCTGTTGTTTTTTATATAATTTGTTTATGTTCCTATTTATTATTTAATTTATTTAATGCAAGAGTTCCAGCCAACATTTTTTCCCGCTTATCAGTTGCATGCTATGTTATCTCGTTGATTCTTAACTGTTGGTCTACAGCCCAAATACTTCCTAAGTGGTCTAAAAACTTAATGCTTGACTAGGTGGCAACTCTTAAACGAAAGAAATATTACGCTATAGAAAAGTTGCAGAATTACAATGGATACATGATAGCAGTCTGGTAAGTGCCTGATTGTGCACTATGCGCTCGATGGTGCCGGGTTCGAACCACGATCCCCCGCCATCCTGCTGGAGTTTTGATCTAGGATATAATAACCTTTAATTCTGAAGAAACATTTGAAACATGTAAAAAAAAAAAAGCGGTGCCAAGCTGTCTTTATTTAGATCGGTCACAAAGCAACCCTCCAGCCTTAACCCCCTGCTAACTCGACGGCCCATATTCCTTTTATCTCATTTCGGTATCTATCTTATTGCAGTATTCGTGGTTGTGGCAAGTCCAATTGTTGTTTTATCTTTCTGTCTATGTTCGTACTATTTGAACGGAATCAAAAAGTCGTGAACACTTTTCCACTAAATAACAGGGTAGTTTGCTCGGCATTCACTAATGGTTCTTTACCTGGACCGAATTGGTCGAGAGTCTATTGTCACAAAATGTGTAGCCATGCAGGACCAAAGTGGTCAAGGGTCTATTGTCACAACATTGGTAGTCATGCAGGACTAAATTGGTCAAGAGTTTATTATCGCAACATTTGTAGTCATGCAGGACGAAACTGGCCAAGAGTCTATTATCGCAACATTTGTAGTCATGCAGGACGAAATTTGTCAAGAGTCTATAATCGCAACATTTGTAGCCATGTTGTAAAGTATGGATGTCTTGAACATTTCAAAATATACTCATTTTAAAATACACACGTTTTAAAACTATTTTCTATTCACTCAGACTAGAGTCTAAATTTCCTAGATGTTATTATAAATGAAATGTCATTACCAAGTCCCTATATTAAAGAAATAAGCATGCGAGTTATATTATTAAAGAAATTCCTACAAATCAAACAAAAACATAAAACTTTAATACTATTGTTTAGAACATAAATATGCGTTCTCTATTTAGGATTCCTCAAATAATGAAAACAAAACAAAAAACAAACAAGATTACAAAAAGAGTTTGTGCTATATCACAAACTCAGAGGCGGCCGCCGTCGGATCCCTGTCGGATTCGCCTATTGGCAAGTAATATTCAAGACGTGATTTGTTTTGATTTTCAAAAGTAATAATGTTTCAAAGATTCATTTCCAGTTGTAGAAAATGTTTTCTTTTTCTGTAAAATGCTTCATATGTTTCGGATGTTCCTTCAAAGTTAAAGATAATTTACTTCCTTGTTCAAACTTCCCGCTGGACGAAGGGGAATGGCAGCGAGCAGGGTAGGAACCCGGGACCGTCGAGATAATCAGTCCAGCAAACTAACCGCACAACCTGGCATTGCTGTTAACTTAATAACAAACTAATAGCCTATTGTTGATAAAGAGATACATTACACATTACGGCATGACATCTACCGGATATGTACAATATGTCAGACAAGCGATTTTAGATAATCTTTCGGCATTGATTTGTAATTTTAAAAAAAGGAACAAGCAAACAGGTAAGGAGCTTATACTTCGGCAACGTCTGCTCAATGTTCCAGCACAGTTACCAACAGAGTTATTGACATTTTCATTTAAATGGAACTAGAATTAGGATGTATATCTACCTAAACTAAACTTCTGATTTAGCGCTCTTAAAATCTATATCTACTAAATCTAGATCTAAAATATAAATTTGGAATAATTTAGATGTAATTTTGATAATATTTATGTAAAAAAAGGCCTAGATAATTTATCAATAGACTGAATTCAACAGTAAATTTAAAAATAGTAGATTAGTTTTAGTATTTTAAAGTGGTCGAGATGCTAAGTACGCTTGAACTTGACTTGTCCCGATCTACCTTTGAAGGGGGCTGAAGGTTCGACACCTGACTCGAGCAGAGTTGTGTTTACTGAGCGCCTAAAGGCAGCACGAAAAACCTTCTCCCAGATACCCCCTCCCCCACTGGTCCACAAATGAGATTGTACCATAGCGCTCTGTGCATGCTATAAGTATGAGAGTAGCGCTATATTTAGAAAAAAGCTATAAAGCTATAGCTATAACATTGCAATATTGGTATTTGGAAATCAAAATCTACACTTTAAGTCTAGTGATTGAAATTCTAGATCTAGATCTAGTCTATATCATTCTACAGAAACCTCATGCTTCTGAATTTTATTACCAAAATGTTTCCAGTCGCAGCAGCTTTCGTTTGCCTATTGGCCTCAATTAGTTATCGTGCCAAACAACTGATGTGAAAAAAGAATACGTCATCGTCAAACTTTCCGAATGCTGATTGGCCGAAATAACTGTATAAAGAACTAAATCTAGTGTAAAAAATCTAGATCTAGTGTAAAAAAAATCTATAACTAGTTTAAAAATCCAGATTAGATGTTGTTGTTTTTTTTTTCAGATGAAGAAGTTTAATAAACATTATTGCACTGTGTTCTTTAAGCATTTCATTTTAATAATTTATTCCATATGACGTCAAAGGAAAAAACCCACTACTTTACAAGCCTAGTGAGACTTAAAAATGCCTTTATCAATACAAGCAAGTTGTCGAGGTTTCATAGACATTTATGTACCCAGTTTTTTTTTCAGAATTACATATAAAGAATTCATTCCATGTGACGTCAAATGGAAAAAAAATAGCCCATTACGTAACACTGGGCTAGTTAGATTAAAAATGTCTTTATTAACATGAGAGAGTTATCTTGGGTTCATAGACATTGGTGAACCGAGTTCTAAAAGCAGTTCGTCTACATTGCACGAGAAAGAGAGAGAGAGAGAGAGAGAGAGATTAAAGCCGCAGTTTTTGTGCATTTTGTCTGTCATTCTGTCTGTTCGTCATGTTAATATCGAAAAAAAAAGACTAAAATCTTTTGAAAATCTGATTAACCTTTAATTTCCCGTCCAAAACATCGCAATAGTTTTAAGTATCTATAATAGATTGTTTCGGATGTTTGTATATATAGTGAGAGAAAAAAAAAATCAAGATAAATCTAATACCGTTAATTACATTTTTGGGATGTTCTCGTATAAAAATTAGATGTACCATAGCCTTGTGGAGAGATTTTCAAACCATACTCTTGTGTTAGGAAGTTGTTTTCTTTAAAAATCGGAACATAATATTAACGATAATTAGATTTTGTAACATTTTATAGCTAGAAAATTAATTGTAGTGTAAGACAGAAGAGCGATTTTAAATAAATAGAGTTAAAATGTTTTTTTTATAAAAAACCGGAACAACTGATTTTCGTAAATGAGAAAAAGATTATCTGTTTTATTTATTATGTAATATACTAAATCAATTCATAACCTTAGAAACAAGGCTTTATTTCAATACAACACGACTGATACACACAAGAACACAGTACAGACTGGTCACGATTCACAGACTACGATAATGCGAACACGATTACAAATACTAGCACAATTACAAGCACGGGTAACACACAAGTTCATTTAACGATCACTCTATTCACCCCTCCTTTTTTCTTTCTGGGTCTTAGGTTATAACCATGCGTATGAAGGGAAGGATCCGGAGGTATCTCTGGCGTAGACTTTTCTCCTTGCAAGTCGTAACTGTCCTGTACGGGACTCGAGTCAATATTGGCCTCTGGCATTGGGTGGCTCCCCTGTGAGTCACTGATGACTTCTGGCTGGTTGTACATCATTGGGGTGGGACTCTGTGAATTACTGATAGTTTCAGGCACGTAGCGACTCCCTGGTGAGAGATCCAAAGAGTCACCGACCTCTTGAGGCAGAATACCGTTCTCTGGTTCGAAATAGTCGTTCGTGGAACTTTCCTTCGGCGCCAGGTGCCTAAGCGACACTGTTTCTTCCCGGCCGTTTGGAAATCGTATATGGGCGTACTGTGGGTTGTAGCTAATAAGTTTAACCTCTTGTACCAATGGATCAAATTTTGAAGATCTTACAGGTGATTTTAGTAACTTTTTCCCTGGGTTCTGTAGCCAAGTAGGCAAGGATGTTCCCGTTGGCGATCTTCTGTTGAATTTGAAGATCCGTTGGTGTGGAGTTTCATTAGTAGAAGTACACAGTAATGATCGAATAGAATGAAGTGCCTGAGGCAACACAGATTCCCACTGTGATAGTTCCAACTTCCCTGAGTCCAATGCTAATAAAATAGCCTGCCACAATGTTTTTTTCAGCTTTTCTATTTGCCCATTTCCTTTTGCATTGTAGGGCGTTGTCCTGCTAGTGGCTATGCCCTTAGAATGTAGATATTCTGTAGTTTCTGTGGACATAAATGATGTGCCACGATCAGAGTGGATGTAACTGGGTGTTCCAAAGAGGAAAAATAACTGGTCGAAGCATTTTATCAGTCTTAGATGTCATATCAGGACAGGGAAAAGCGAATGGAAACCGCGAATATTCGTCATTCATTGTTAATAAATACTTGTTCCGAGTAGCTGATGGCAAAGGACCTTTAAAGTCAACACTAATTCTTTCAAACGGCTGTGTGGCCTTTATGAGCATATCTGTAAATTCCTTATAGAATTGCGGTTTAATTCTATTGCAGGTTCTGCATTGTTGAATGGTCTGTCTGACCTCTTCAACCGAGAAGGGTAAGTTCTTTGACCTGACATAATGTAGAAGTCTAATGACATCTGGATGACACAGGTAGTCATGGTACGTCTTCAGGCTACTTTGTTTCGTCATGGTTGCACAGTGCCCTACAGACAAGGTGTCTTTTGAGTGTACTGGCCTTTGGCATTCTCAATGGCACCAGTCACACTTCTGCAAGAAATTCGCTGATAAAACTCCGTTTTAAAAAATGTTTGTGATATTTACATACAAAGTGCATTCTTAG